TTCAATTTTCATTCTATAAATTACAAGACTGTCAGCCATCTTGGATGTGTATGGCTTTACTCTAATAATTGTCCGTCCCTCCCTCCCTCCCTCCCTCCCTCCCTCCCTTCCTCCCTTCCTTCCTTCCTCCCTTCCTTCCTCTACTGGGGATTGAACCCAGAGATGCTCTACTGCTTGAGCTACATCCCTGGCCCTTTATATTTCTTATTTTGAGATAGAGTCTCACTAAATTGCTGAGGTTGGACTTGTTACCATCATTCTGCCTCAGCTCCAGAATGGAGGGTTCAGGTCTGCACCACCCCATCCAGGCTTAATGTACTTCTTTCTGGAAGGAATTTGCTAAATATTGAAACATAGTAGCTAGTATACCAGCTTCCCTACATCTTTTACTATGTACCTTACAATCTCCTCCTTAGTAGACCTATAGTTTGATTTATAAGATCAGTAACTTACCAGCTGTTTTACATATTAAAGGTTGTTGATTTCTTACTTTAAAATAGAAAAATACCAAGTTCTCTTCATTTTCTATCATTGATTTAGTTCCATATGTTATGGCTGCCACTGTATTACCAGATTTATGACATAAGCTTTACATTTGTCAGGCTTCTTTTGGAACCCCAAACAAATGATAGGAACATGGTTTAAAAAATCAGCCTTTCCCATCTCTGTAAGTGGTAACTCCATTCTGTTTTTGCTTAAGCTTGGAACCTTGAAATTTATTCTTGATTCTTTTTCTATCACTTCTATCATACCATATTTCCACATGTTGCTTAAAAAAAAATCTGACTAGTTCTCCCCATCTCTACTTCAGTCATCCTGGCTCAAAACCATCTTTCTCCTCCTACATAATTCCTAATAACACTCCCTTCTAGGACTGTTGCTCTCAAAAAGTACCTGTCATCTTTTTGAAAAGTAGGAGATCCTATCACTTTTTTGTTAAGAAATTTGTGGTGGCTCCCCATGTAATTCAGAGTAAAAGCTCAAGCCCTTAAAATGGGAGACAATTTTGTAGTCCTGCTCTCCCTCCTTAGTGCGGGAACTTTATTCAGAGTTTACTAGTCTTACCACCACTCACGGCACAAAGTCCTCCTTGTTGCCCTTATATAGCTACTTTGTACTTACTCTTCCCTAGAGTACCTACTCTTCCTGCCCATATAACTCACTTCCTTATATCCTCAGGTCTTTATAGGAAATCACTTTATTTGTAACATTTTCACTCAATGTAAATTTGAAATCTCCTACTTCCCACATGCTTCTCATTACTTTTTCCTGTTTTTCTCTTTCTTGATAATGTTTTTCACCACCCAGCACTGTGTATTTTACAGATTTATTTTGTATTGGGTTTCTTCTTTCTAAAATATGATCTTCACAGAGGCAGGGATTTTTGTCTGTCTTCTTTGTCTAGGAAATTGCATGGCATATAGCTAAGTAGTATTTCAACAAGAATTTGTTGACTGAATAAGAAAGAAATTATGCATTGTCTCATCTATTAAGTCTAGAACTCTGAAAGGATTGAGGCTACTTTGCTTATAACCTAAGAAGTTATCTGGCCAGAGTTTTACTTTCATATACTAACAGAAAAATCCCAACTCAAGACTTGGGGTTTAATATAGCAAAAGCAGTGGCCAGTTCCTTAGTGCTGATTGCATATGTTCCCATCCCTCTGATAGGCTGCTATGATGAAAGCCAGATATTTGCCATGCAGTGGATTTGCATCACAGAGAGGAGTCTTGGAATCAGGAGACTCTAGGCCTGTATAGGCTGTTGGCACATTTGCCATCATTTTCTGTAGAGGGAGGGTGATTACTTTTTTAGCAGTTGCCCCATGAAAGAGGAGGAAGGTTTCTTTAGGTTTATTATCCTAAGATATAAGTGAATATCTCCAGGGCTTTATTTCTCCAATAAAGATAAAACTCTCAAAAGAGATCTCCAAAGAGATCTCTACTTTTAGAAAAACATGGTCTCTAGTATCCAAACTTGTCTATTATGAAATATCCTTATACTACCTTTAGTTCAGGTGTCCCTGACTATGCAGGAACATGAAAAATCTAGGAAGAATAATTTCTAAACATTAATTCTAAATTTCAGCAACTATGTCTATTCATATTTGAACTCAGATTTAGTAGCAAAATGTTTCAGAATTTTTATCTCTTTTCATCACTTGGTTCTTTTTCTGGGTTGGCCCATTTTCGAATAGGTACTTATGTTCTTTCATCTTAGCAACTTCTGTTGAAAGTGAATGTTCCTTCCTGATGAATTTCTACAAAAATATTTGGGAGGGAGCAAAGTGGAGAAGTAGCTCAGTGGTAGAGAGCTTGCTTGGCATGTGTGTGACTCTGGGTTCTATTCCCAGCAATGAAAAAAAAAAAGTTGGGATTCAGTCTCATTTGTGCAGTTTGGGTCATGTACCCATTCCTGAACTACTACTTGCAGGAGAGAATATGCTGATTTTTCAGACTCATGCCATGTGCAAGTGCAAGTGATTAGTGCCATCCTGAGCACCTGGGTAGAGGATAAAGAATAATAGTTTAACAAAAGAACACCAAAATGTTGTTACCAAAAAAAAAAAAAAAAAAAAAAAGAAAAAGGGAGATACATTTTTTGGGGGTAAAAAAATAACACAGGTCTACCTACTTTCAGGGCAATGCATCTGTAGGGTGGTGCTGTAGGATCCTGAGAGTGCTTCCTTACATTTTATACTTCAGCCACTTCTCTTGCCTCACTCCAACCCCCTTTATGAAGAAGCAGCACATTTAGGAAATAGGAATTATAATTGGTTCTGAGTGTGTTTTAGAGATGAGAGCCTGTGTTATTGGGGAAATTGATGAGGGAAAATTAAGGTGGACTAGAAGGTAGTCATTATACATTTTTAATTGTTGTCTATGGAAATCCTTGCTGAGTTCTGATAATAACTTTGAAGTAACACAAAGAACATAATTTTGTATTCATATATTCATAATAGTTTGGAAAAGAAGTTCCATTTAGAGATGCTACCAATGAGCTATTTTAATATTAAGGAAAATACTTTATTTTTCATTGAAAAATAAAAATGATAGACAACTGAGTTGGAGATAAGAGACAACATGTGGGTGCTTTGACTAGCTGTCTTGAGCAAAACATGGACATTGCTCAATGTTGAATGTGGAATACCCATTGAATAGTTGTGTCTGTTGTTCTTAGGCCTTTGAATATGACCATTTCCATATCATGTGAGACCAGAATATGGAATTCTAAATAACTCTCAACTATCTGTACTGCTGAGACAGTCTGAAAATTTTAAAAATTTAAAATTTACTGATGACCCAGTAATTTGGGGGTCTGACTTTGGAATGGTATTAGATACTTGTATAATACACAAATTTAGGTATATATTCACTACATTTTGTTCCTTAGGAATCTTATGAGTGAGAAAGACATTTACTGTATTATATCTTGCAGGTTTAGTATAATGTACTGTATTGAAAGCAGTATATGAGAAGTCACGATTAAAATCGCCATATTTAAATGTCATCTTAAGTCGTACTTTATAGTTCAATAGAATAACTCTTGTCCCAAAGCCTTATTTTATACCACCATATGCAAATTATAGAAAGTCATAATTCACCTTGTAATTTCAATCATTCAGTAACCCTTGTTTGGTGCAAAGCATGTTCTAGGTGTTATGGAGAACGCTGGCTAAAGTAAGATAAAAATCACTGTCCTTAGTCACTACACAGTTTAGTGGAAGAAGGACAAAAACATTTTAAATTATATATAGATTAGATTTCCAACCAATTCTAGCATTGGGAACCTTGCCAAATCTAGAATTTTTTTTTTTTTGTATGTGTGGAGGCAAAGAATGAACCCTTTGGAAATTGGTAAAAGATTAGAGGAGTGGAAGATCTGGAGAATATGATTGATACAAGGTGTTTGGTCAGTTTCCTGACCAGAAGGAAAGCAGTGATCTTTCTGGTAGTATTTATGAAATGTCATATGAAAATCAAGGAAGGAGGAGAAATGAAAGGAAACAGACTAGGCAAACACAAAAAGAAGAGTTTGAAAGAAGAGGAGAGCTGATCATAAACCAGGAGTTGGGATTAGAAATAGGAAGGTATGAGGCAAAAGATGAGAAAACTGGGTTGTGAACCACATATAGTGACCTTCTATAACCATGTGTTCTGTATTTGTTGATTCAACCAAATATAGATAAAAAATATTAAGAAAAAATTGCATCTGTACTGAACACGAAGTCTTTTTTTTCTTGTCATTAATCCCTAAACAAACAGTATAACAACTGTTACATAGCATTTATATTGTATTAAGTATTATAAGCAACCTAGAGATGATTGTAAGAAATCTGTATGCTGTGTGTTGGTTATATGCAATTACTGTGCCATATTATATAAAGGATTTGAACATCCATGGGAGTCTTGAAACCAATTTCTCATGTATACTGAGGGACAACTGTATATTGAGAGAGCTCAGACTCCTCTAAGGTCCTCCAGTTTCAAGGATTGAGGGGAAAACAGTCAATTCAAGGATCCTGCTTTGGCATACTAAAGTTCATAAAACCAGGAAATTGTGTCGTTGCTGGGACAATCTTCCGTAAACCACCTTCAGCCTTTGAAAAAAATTTTCTTGCATTCTTAGTTACTTCTTTGGGTTGTAACAATATTTTAACATTTTAAAATATTAAACATAGTTGTTTGTTCTGGTGTGCTTCAAACTTGCAGTTTTATGCTGTGAAAATGGAGAAAAACAAGAATTATCTCTTCAAATCTGGGGGATAGGGTGGGGTAGAAGGTAAAATACATTATACATTGGAAAGTTGTGGAAGGAAGGGGGAGAGAATCAGCAGTGGGTAGACAAATTTGGCAAGTATAGTATTCTAATGTTTAATTTGATGAATGTGATAAATCGTCCCAGTTAATTTCCAGTAATATCCTATTATACGATATGTATACATTTTTACATCTTTCTCTATAGTGAATAGTTCTGATTTCTGTAACTTCTTCTTACAGCTCCTGCCTTTGGTTAGACCTATGATCATTCCCGTGAGGCTTCCCTGAATGTTTTCTTGTGTCTTCCTTGTTCTTAATCTTAATACCTCAATATGGACCTGCTACTTTAACTAAGACACGACCAGCAATGAGTAGTAGTAAGGTAGGATTACTTTATTGTTCTTAACGAATTATTGAATACATTCTTTTTGATCCTTGAAACTGAATAACAATTTTGACTTGTCTGAATTTTATGTTAGATTTGTCCTTTTCTTTATGTTAGATTATTCTACCTAGGCAGATTACTATCATTTTGCATTTGTGTGTTTTTTTTTTTTTTTTTGCTTGTCATTTATATTAATGATTTTTATCTCATTTGTGACACAGTGTTTTAGCCAGCCTTTTCATTAGTGTGACCAAAAGACCTGACAAAAACAATTAGAGGAAGAAAAGTTTATTTGGGGGTTCAGGGTTTCAAAAGTCTCAGTCCATAGAAGGCTGGCTCTATTCCTTGGGACTTGAGGTGATGCAGAACATCGTGGAAGAAGAGTGGGCAGAGGAAAGAGTGAGGAACATGGCAGCAGGAAGCTGAGAGAGAGCTTCATTCAATTACCTCAACCATGACCCAGAAATATTAGATAGAAAATTCTGGAAATAAGCAAATATATATATATCTCCTCCAAAGGAATGACCCCAGTGACTTACCTCTTCCAGCCACACCCCACCTGCCACTAGTCACCACTCAATTAGTCCCTATCAGGGATTCACACTGATTAGGTTAACTATCAACATAGTCATTTCACCTCTTTGTTACATTGTCTCACACAAAGCTTTTGGGGACACCTAAGATCTAAACCATAACACATAATTATTATTTTTAACTAGTATTTACAATTAGCAGAATCTATAGTACGTCTTCGCCCTGTGTTTCCATGGTCTTATGTTTTTAACTGCAGGGCACCAAACTCGGTGTACATTATATAAGATATATATATTTCTTGTTGAACACTTGTTCTTCCTTCTGGTTTCTGTATTTCTGTATTTCCAGAAAGACTGAAGTCACATGGACTTGAACTCATAATTAATTAAAAGTCATATAAAATTCAATTTCAGGGAAAAAGAGAAAACAAAGTATTAAAGTATTAACTAGTATGTATTACAATTTTGTCAGCTGCTTTATTTCCAGCACTAATGTTGTTTCTAGCATTATAATTAAATCCCTTTTGGTAAAATAACCAATTCTATGGGAAAGAGTTTTCTAAAATGTTTCTGAAATTACTTGTCCGTACTTTTCATTGAGCATTAAGTTTCCTCTCCCTAGCTGTCTTTTAAAAATAGATAATTCTTTTAACCAGTATGAAATCTTCCCAGGCTGATAACCCAAGCTCTGGCTGGTAATTATATTTTGGAGATTTTCCAACATCCTGTCATTAAATGTCTATCATATTAAGGTTATTTGAAAGTATCTATCTTGTCTAAACTCTTAGGTTCATTATCTTTTTGGTTTTGTGGCTCACTGGCATATTTATATTTAGTTTAGATGAAAACTGAAATTGGGTAGCTATTATATCTTTCTAACTCTGTGTTACTTGTTTCTTCGAATTAATCAATAATCTTAGCTACCTTCTGTTTCTTCTCAGAAGAATTTTTATGATGTTTTCTCAAAAAAGGGGAGTTAATATTTGTTTTTTGTGCTTTATGTGAGAGGCATTTGGCTAACTGTTTTTAAGCCTTCATGTGATCCTTAGTCCTGTGAGTTTTTCCACTTTGCATTTGGTTATCTTTTGAGTTTTAGAGCTGAGAGGTAGTAACAGAATAATGGAGTCTAATAGCTGGAAAGAATCTTTGAGATCATGTACTTCCTCTTTTTCACCTGGAACCTAGAGAGGTTTTGTGACTGGCCCAAGATCACACAGCTGCTTCTCATGATTTTGGAGACTAGTGCTGCTTATACTCCTCATGCTTCAGTCAAGCTGTCCTCCTCTCATGCTTTTTATCTTCCCTCCCTTTCAACAATTTGTTTTAACAATGTTCACTGCTATAGAAAAATTGAAAATATAAAACAGTGAACACCCACATTGCTTTTCATCTCAATTCACTCTATTAATGTTTTGCCACATTTTCACTTCATATATGTAGTTATATATATTTAAAACCATTGATACTGTGGCTTATTTCCTGCATAATCATAATACTTATATCACATATAAGAAATTAACATTAATTTGAGAATATTTTGTCAATCTATTTGTGCTGCTATAACAAAATACTTCAGACTGGGTATTTTATAAACAACAGAATTTATTTCTCATAGTTCTGAGGCTGGGAAATCCTAGGTCAATGTGCTGGCAGGCTTGGTGTTTGGTGAAGACCTGCTCCTTGTAGATGGCTTTGTCTAGGTGTTGTCACATAGCAGAAGGATGGAAGTAGGGAAGTTGTTCTCTGGAGTCTCTTATAAGAGCATTAATCCCATCCATGAGAGTTGAGTGGTTATGGTTTCACCTCCCAAGGGCTTTACCTCTTACCATGTTGCCATGAGGATTAAAGTCTAACATATGGGGATGTGGCTCAAGCGGTAGCGCGCTTGCCTGGCATGCGTGCGGCCCGGGTTCGATCCTCAGCACCACATACAAACAAAGATGTTGTGTCCGCCGAAAGCTAAAATAAATAAATAAATAAAAATTCTCTCTCTCTCTCTCTCTCTCTCTCTTTAAAAAAAAAAATAAAGTCTAACATCTGACTTTAGAGAGACATATACCTTCAAACCATAGCAATGTTTAACATAATGATCCGTATTCAGGTCTCTCCATTTGTTCCTGAACTTTTATTTTGTTTTTTTGTTTTTTGATCCAGGTTCAGTCAGGTTTCATGTCTTACGTATTTGGTTCCATGCCTTTGTATTTTCTGTTCTCAAATAGTTCTCTGCTTTTTTGTTTGTTTGTTTTCTTGTTGTTCAAGATCTGTATTTTCTTTTAGGAGATAGAATTTGTATATAACTAATGTCTCTTTTGGGAATTGCCTGGTTTCTTAGAACATTATTCATCCAAAACTTATTTGCAGTTTGCTTTTTCCTTCCAATTCTCTGAGGTTGCTGGAGATAATATTGTCATTTCTGAGGTTTTCTTTTTTTCTTTTCAAAATACCATTCCAGTTTTAAATATACATTAGAAGAGGCTTTTTCCATTTGGTTGCATTAAGTTAAAGTTAAGGAAACTTAACTTTTGTATTTGATTCTCTGGCACTAGTCAGCAATTGGAATTCAAATTAAAAAGAGAAGTCTGCAGGAGTTCCCCCTCTTTGCCCATCCTCACCTTCTAACCAGATGGTTATATCTAGGAATGTCTATCAAGCCACTGTGAATATTATAAAGCCTTTGTCTTTGAAAGATGCACAATTTCAAGAAAGAAATAGATTAAAATGCAAATGACACATAAAGCAAGTGAATAGACAAAATCAGAGCTTGGCACAATCAAGACAGAATTTAAGTATCTTCTGTGTTTTGTACTTTTGTGGAGCAGTCTTTCTTTCTTATTTGCTATTGAATTTCACAGATCTGGGTGATTTTCTTTAAGATTCATGGTATTTGGGAACAAGTATACTTTTTTTGGGAGGAAACATTACTTTTTTTTTTTTTTTTTTCCTTTTTGGTACTGGGGATTGAACCCAGGGTTGCTTAACCACTGAGCCACATTCCCAGCCCTTTTTATTTTTTATTTTGCGACAGGGTCTCACTAAGTTGCTTAGGGCCTTCCTTGCTAGATTGCTGAGGCTGGCCTTCAACTTGCAATCCTCCTGCCTCAGCCTCCCAAATTGCTGGGATTTCAGACATGTGCCAACACACCTAGCTAACATAGAGCTAACTTTTAAGCAATATTTTCAAAGAGGAGAGAATAATGTTTTGGTTGAAAGGGAAGAGAAAATTTCAGTGAGGAAAGGGACTACTCTGGATGCTTTTAGGTTATACTTCTTGTGTGCTTTTATTACCTTTTACAAATAGATTCCTTTTACAAATATTGTTGTATATTAGAATTGCCTCTTCTCTGATAAGCTTCCTGAGGTTGAAACCAGTATTTTTATCTCTGAGTATTCAGGAGTTTACTCAGTGCTTGGCACATTGTAGACATTTAGTAAATCTTTATCTGATGGGTAAATGATTGAACAATAGTCTCTAAATAACATACAGAGCAAAAAAGACAAATTAGATTGATTTACTGCCAAGGTGCTCAATTAGAGGTAGAATTAGTTGAGAAGCTTGAAATAAGCAACAGGGAAATTGTTTCACTGAAAGACAGGAGGGGCATTCTGTGGAAGAGGTAAAGATATCTATTATCTGGAAGAGTTAAAGATATCTATTATGGAAACACAATTGGGAGAGTTTTTATAAAAATAGCTATCATGATATATAAATACCCTTGCCATTTTTTGAATTAAAATGAATGTTTGAAGGATAAATAATTTTTAATGTTAAGTACTTAATAATTAGAAATAAGTTTTGTTTTTAGTGTCATGAAAATGTTAATGTTATTCAGGAGTTCTTTCTAAAATTCATTATTGGAATTATCAAATCTATAGAAAAATTGAAATAGTAGTAAAATGGGCCCCCAAGTATCCATCACCTACCATACTTTGGCAATTTCGTTAGTCTTGTTTCATCTACAAGACTTGTTTTTCTGCTGCTGGGGATTAACCCAGGTGTGTTCTATTATCAAGCTACAACCCCCAGCCCTTTTATTTTGATTTTGAGAGAGGGTCTTAATAAACAGCAACAGGCATTGCACCACTGTGCATGGCTGAGGTATTTTTTTCCCTGGAGTATTTTAAAATATTCTGTCATAATTAGTTTGCTTGAACACTTCTTTTCAATTCTTTTTTTGTTTGTTTGTGGTACTGGGGTTTAACTCAGGGTTGCTCTACAACTGAGCTATATCCCGGTCCTTTTTGTTTTCATTGTGAGACAGGGTCTGGCTAAGTTGCCTAGTCTAGGCTTGAACTTGCAATGCTCCTGCCTTAGCCTTCCAAACTGCTAGGATTATAGGTATGTGCCACTGTGCCTGGCTTGTTTTCATTTGTTTTGTGTACATCCAGGAGTAGAATTGCCATATCATGTGGTAATTCTATGTTTAATTATTTGAGGAATTGACAACTGTTTTCCACTGTGACTGA